ACTCGGACATGACCCCCCCCCCCCTTTTTTCTCACCACTACTACTAACCCTTTGCAACTTCTTTCCTTGAACAATCTTCAACGCTTTGTATCCAGCGGTTGTAAAAGCACTAAAAGACTTCTCTGCATCAAAGGATTTAACTTTGGTGGGAAAATCTCTAGCTTTCTTAAAGAGTATGACATCAGATTCTTTCCTTGTAAATACGGAGGTTCTATCAGCTATTTTAAATGTTACGAGACCTCCATCTAAGAAATTGCAAGGTGTTGAGATGGATCTGGTACAAGCTTTTGACAGTGTGAAGAACTGCATGGATGTGTTACTGTTACGACCCCGGGAGTCGTTACCCCCTCTGTACAAGTCTGGATGCAGAAACCACGCACAACCCTGGTTCACCTCTATTCGAAACATCCCTATCGCCACTCCCAAAGGTTGGTGGGAAGCAGGCAGGGTGTTGTGAGCCAGTTGGCCACAAGCAACTCCCCAGCTGATGACGCATACTCCAATAACAGGCGCGCTGGATTTTTTGCCTTCCATTGACGTAGTATGGAGGAAGTACAAGCAGAAGTTGCAAGATGGCAGAACACTTGAAAAAGACGTGAAGAGAAAGACAGACCAACATCGGCTCTTTCCTCACTGAAAGTTTGCAGAGAATTTGGGAAATACCAAAACATCCAAACTCTGATACATATTCTGGAAACACTTCCTGTGACAACTGCTACAAGTGAATGTTCATTCAGCTGCTTAAAATATCTGAAGTGGTACCTGCATTCCACTATGTCAGCACAAAAACTGAATGGATTAGCTTTACTGCTTGTCCACAAAGATATGGAACTGAATTGCGATGAGGTCATCAATGAATTTGGTCATAAGAACAGATTACTTGACTTTGGACTTCACAAGTAAGCTAAGCAAAGCTAGTACTGTTCTCTCTCTCTTCACAAGTAAGATAGTCCTCTCTCTCTCTCCTTACCTCTCTCTCATCACTCTATCTATCTATCGATTAACTCCATTGCCAAGTACTTAATTTTACAACAATCCTAGGAGAAAAATGTGTTTTGTTTTAACATGTATATATATTTTTTGCTTAGGAACTTTTGTGTTCGATGAATACAGTTGCTTGTACACTGTATACTGCAATTTGTTCTATAACAGTTTCCAAGAATGCAACTGTAAATGAAACCTACTGTATATCTGCTTATTTTACTGTTATGTAAATAAAATGCTTGCTAAAAAAATGAATGAAAAATATAAAGGGTATCCTTTTACATAACCTTATCTTGAGACTCCCCCCCCCCCCTCTTTCCATGATCATGTACTGTAAAAGCCACTGACCCTCACCCTTAGTCTCATTAGCTCAGCTCAGAATTACATTGATTTATTGCTGTATTATTTTACCTTTTTTTAGCATTGAATGTACATTTAAAGAAATATTTATATTTGCACAGTACAGTAATTATAAATTAACCCAGAGCAGAAAAATCTAGCCTTGCCCAAGAGGTTGGTTTTCCCACTCACACACCAACCATGATACAATCTTTCATAACGCCGATAACTCTTGTCCCCAAACCTGGAGCATAAAGGTTTGGAGCATTTTTCTCGCCATTTTATCAGATTTTTCGGTAATTGCGCATTATTTCATAATCGACATATGCTCCTAGACCAAGAAATAAAGATTTGGACAGATTATCCTGATTTTGATTTTATTTTATTTACTTATTTATTTTATTTTATTTTATTTTATCAGAAAATGCTCCTGATTTTCAACCTTGGAAATTGTTCTCAAATCCAGAATTTAGAGAATTTTCAGGAAAAATTCAAAGCAAATTTCAATTCCAGCTATTGCTGAGTTCTGGATTTGAGAAATTCAGACTAACGGAGATATTACTTATAATGAAGAAAATTATATTAATGAATTGGCAATTCGACTACAACCACAGCTGCCACAAGATTCTCACATCAAATTTTCTTCAATATTTAAGTACATATACAAACATTTGGAAACTTCTCATGATCTTAAATAATGCTGAATACTTTATTATTATAAAAATGTTACCATTGGTTTGTTTATTATTTATCCTGCCAGTGAAATGGCCAAAAATAGATCTACCAATCACAATCACTTTTACATACAACCTTACTTTACCAGGTATATCCAAGTAAAATTGCGAGAATGAGACCCAAGGTGGAGTCCGTGCATCGTTGGTTGACTGTACAGTATAGTCTGGGTTTACGCGGTCAATTGAACCCGTGGAGGTCCGCGTAGAACAAGAAACGCGTACACAAAATAACAGAACATATGGGATTAATTGAAATAGAGACTGGGCCGACCCCCAAACTCCACTTTTTCCGACACAAGACGTACATTGTAATAAAAATAGTATCTTAATTTTATGATGGTATGCACACGCACACATAATATAGAAGAGAAATATCAATAAGAGAATAATATACTGTACCAGGTAAAAGAAAAATCAAGGTTTAACACTTGCATCAGGTTAGGTTAGGTTAGGAAAAATCAAGGTTTAACACTTACGTAAGGTTAGGTTAGGTTAGGTTAGAAAAAATCAAGGTTTAACACTTATGTCAGGTTAGGTTAGAAAAAATCTAGGTTAGGTTTAACACTTACGTTAGCAGAAGAGATGGGTCGGCGTACGGGAATGGCAGCTAGTTCTGAGGCAGAGGGCAGATTACTGGCCCTCAGGTGAATCACCATCACTATCCACCACAGTTGTCAGGGCCTCCCTGACATATCCCTCAAAGTCACCATCACTGTCACTATCACTGGCTTGGGCTGGCTGTGGTGGGTTGCGGGCGAAGAAGTCTGTGATGTTACGCTGACGGCTAGTGTTAATGTTGTTGTGATACACCTTGATGTACGGCTCCATAGTGTGCAACAGCTGGTTATTGAAGACTTCATAGCGGTTATCGTCAGGGTCGTTGGAAAGGATGAGCTTCAGTTTCTTTGCACACTCGATGGCATCCTTAACATTACCATGCGTTAACTTGTGTTCTTCTCGGGATGACGCACCACCTGCCTCTTCACTGACGTCATCGTCTTCTAACATCTCGTCGGCAGTCACCTCAGGATCCCTTATCACCTCCATAATGTCATCGTTGGTGGTCTCGGAGAAGCCTGCAGTTGTAACACTCTGCGCAGCTTCTCTTGCAAGGTCCACTGCCACTGCAACAGACTGAACCTTACCAGTCACAGGTTGCCTCAGCCTCCCACCTGGGATACCTTGCAACACATGCTGCCATGCGTGACGAATCGTTGCTACAGACAGCTGATCCCATGCCTCCACCAAGAAGTCAACAGGTTTCTTGACGTTTAATTTCTTCCCAAACTGTTTGACGCGAACTTCTTGATCCGCCAACTCTTGTTCCTCGTCCTCGTCGCTCTCGCTATCGGTGTCACCCAGGTTACGCAACTCATCCTTGGTGTTGGTACAGTCGTTCAGGAGCTTAAACTTCCTTGCAGAGAATGCAGCCTTAACGTTGCATATCAACTCCTGGTCCATGGGCTGGATTAAAGATGTAGTGTTGGGAGGAAGGAAGACCACTTTTACGTTGGGGTGACGATCCAACAGTAAGGGCGAGTGTCCTGGTGCATTGTCAAGGAGCAACAAAGTGTTGAATGGAAAATTCTGTTGTTCGCAGAATTTCTTGATGTCGGGAACGAAACAGTCGTCAAACCAGGAGACAGAGCAGAGAACATCCACGCCTTACGTGCGGTTAGCCAGTGGACATTTAGCTTGGTCATGTCCATGTTCTTGTAGGCGTGCGGCTTGCGGGCTGTGTGGACCAACGATAACTTGAGTTTACAGGCATTGGTGGTAAACAAAACGGTGATGCGCTCCTTCTGCAACTTCCGGCCCCGACACTTGCTGGCAGACTTGACAACGAAGGTCTTGGAAAGTAGCTTTTTCCAAAACAGACCGGATTCATCCATGTTGAACACCTGATCGTCGGTGTACTGTCCTTCCTCCATAACGTCACGTAAGAATGGAGGAAAATCACTAGCCGCAACACGGTCAGCACTCGCTCCTTCACCACCAATGTTAAAGTTGGTGATCTTGTTCCTATTCTTAAACCCTTGCAGCCACCCAGAGGAAGCATTGAAGGGTTTGGGCTCTGCAATTCCCATCTTATGTGCCACTGCTACGTTCAGTTCACGTACGTACTCTTGAACTGACCACGTGTCCACTGCCATGTTCCGTCGTGCCTGACGAATCAAGTAGCTCACAATTAATTCTCTGTCTTGAGAAGCACCTTGTTCTGGCAGTACTTCACCATTGAAGCACCTGCAGACTTTGTGATGTTCATGTGTTCTTTTATCTTGGCTGCATCCTTCTTGATCGTCTGGATCGTAGATTCGTTAACACCATGCTGGCGCGTGAGATCAACCTGTCTTGATCCTTTTTCTAACTCTTGTATTATCTTGTACTTCACCTCGTAACTTAGGGCACGTCGTATCTTCTTTGGCTTAGGGCGGCTGGGTCCAGGTAATGCAAGGTTTTTCTGTGGTGGTGGTGGTCCAGTAGAAGCAATTCTTACGAGATTATCAGAACAATAGAACACAATATACACGGGGTGACTGGGAGGATCGTAACTGACGCGGCTAGGTCAAGTGGCTTCATCCCTCCCGTGGCAGGGCACGTCATACTACATTAAACCAATCACAGCTAGCGGCAGAGGGAGGTAAGGATGCGTGGCCCAATCACAGTCCGATACGTCATATGACGTCACCGATAACACAACAGAGACATGCACTGCGCAACCTACTCGCGCCGCTACCCAACATGGCGGGAGGTTTGAATCCAAAAATGGCGCGGCGTGGCAGGACCGACAGTTGCTCTCCGTGTAAATGACCAAATTTACCGCATAAATCAAGCATCCCGGTTCTGACCAAACGCGTAAACGAAAACCGCGTAAATCCAGACTCAACTGTACCTACATTATTTGTAGCTAGAATATTTTGAAGCATGCTACTCAAAACCCACCTGTGATGCAAAGGTGACAATCCAGATGCAGTAAAAGAGAGGGTTTCTGGTAATGCCTTGGAATACATTGTGTTCTCCATGAATCTTGCGCGCATTTACCTCATTGAAGAGGGTCATCATCACAAAGGTGTTGAAGATGAGGGTAAAGTGTTGAGACGGTGGTTCATCCAATCTGGCATAGAGTCCATCATCAATGTCCACTAGATAATGACCTGTGTGTGGAAAACGAAGTAAGTATTAATAAAATACATATTTAAGACATAATGAACCACACAAGTGAGAATTAGAGATGGGCATACCACACATGTAAGGAATGGTGCACCCAGGGTTTTGAGTAAAGTTATAAACTGAAGGAAATGGAGTGTCCGTACAGCTATGTTGTCTTATTACTTTTTAAAAATGGGACGCTAAATTAAAATTTTGAAGAATGTAGATACACCCCATGATTATACAGTACTGTATATCCAGGAATATATCCTAATACATATAACAGTCTTTGCAAACTTATCAGCTTGGCTACTTAAAAAAGCTCACCATAGAAAAGGAGAAGGAAAATCACGATGACCATGAAGGAGGCCTGACCCAGGATATTCCTGAGCATGATGGAGGAGATAAGGGGCATGGTCCTCCCATAGGGCTTCCTGTACAGGAGGGAGCGGGAGGGCGCTTCCGTGGCAAGTGCCAGTGATGCCAGTGTGTCCATGATCAGATTCACCCATAACATTTGCACTGTCTGTGTGGAAGATGGTACAGAGGTTAGGGCAGATGGTATTACAGGGCACAGGTTTAGACTAGTCACAGGGTAAGACACTAGTCAAGAAGTCCAGGAATAGGAACAAAAAAGAGAATGAAAGAAGAAAACACAGGATAGGAATCAGAACACCTTGTCCTCTAGGTATACAGGTACATAGGCTCTTGAATATACGTACCTGAAACTGTCAATGTATGTCAAGTCTGGATTTATAGGATTTCACACATGTGATGCTGTCACAACATTCTCTGGTAGGTTATTTCAGGAGTTTGCAACTCTTACCACAATACAGTTAGCTATGACAATTTTCTATACTGACAGCTTTTTTAACTTGAGGCTATAACTTTGAGTGGGGCAGCCATCAGCAAACTCCAGATGTGTATACAGTACGCCTGGATAATTCGCGGTCATCTATTACTCGCGGATGACACCCTGGATGCACCCAAGAATGTCTGCCGGTAGTTTTAAAGTTGCCGGCATTTTCGTGACCGGTACGGGGAGCGAGCGAGTGTTGTGGTGTCCCGCAGGTGTCTCTCTTATCCCGGGAGGTTGGCCCACCCACATCCCGCTCACTCCACCTCAGTCTGGGATAAACATTTGTCTGTGTCGTGTGTGCTACTCTGCTTTCATAAAAACTGTGCTCTTCATGCTTGTTATGGCTCCCAAACGCCCTCAACCACCTTCATCCAGCCGTGGAAAAGTGCCCAAACAAGTGAAGAGAGAAAAGAAGGTTATCACTCTAGTGGAGAAAATACAACCGCTGGACAAACTTAGGAGTCGCCAAAGTTTGCTGCATGTGGCTGAGATTATTGCATTAACGAATCAACTGTCCGTTACATTAAGAAGAAAGAGAAGGAAATTCATAATACAGTTGACTTAAGTGCCCTCTCTTCTGCCAAGCTAGCTGCTAATGTGAGGGATACAGCTATGGTGAAGATAGAGAAAGCTTTTAACATCTGGATTGAGGACTTGAACCGCCGCCACATCCCTCTCAGCCAGAAGTTTATCCGTGAGAAAGTCAAGGTTCTGTATGACCGATTCTATGCTGAGGAAGGTGGTGAAGGTGAAGTGAGTGGTGAAGGTGGTGCTAGTGTTGGTGGTTCTGGTGATACCACAAAGAAAGGATTTAATGCCAGTAAGGGATGGTTTGAGCATTTCAAGAAGCGCTACAACCTGCACAACATAAGGATCACTGGTGAGCCAGCCTCAACAGATGATGTAGCAGCAAGGGAGTATACTGCAATCTTTGCTGAGATTATCCGGGAGAAGGGCTACCAACTGGAATAGGTACTTAATGCTGACGAAACTGGTTTGTGGTGGAAAGGAGGAAAGAGTGCACCGGGCTTCAAGGTGGCCAAAGATCGTGTCTCTCTCTTGCTTTGTAGAATGCCACAGGGCACATGATCAAGCCTATACTGCTGTACCTAGCCTAGTGTCAACGTGCACTCCAGAATAAAGACATGCACCTCCTCCCAGTTTTCTACCGCCACAACAAGAAAGCCTGGATGACGGCAGTGTTATTCACTGACTGTTTTCACAACTGTTTTGTGATGGAGGTCAAGGATTACCTGCAGGAAAAAGGCATGGAGTTTAAGGTCCTTCGCGTGATTGACAACTGCCCTGGCCACCCCAAGGCCCTCAAGGTCGCAAACAAAAATGTCGAGGTGATCTTTTTGCCCCAAAACACAACATTGTTGCTCCAACCACTCGACCAGGGAGTCATTGCTGTCTTCAAGGCCAAGTACATGACCCACACCTTCAGCAGGATACGGCAAGCCTTGGACGAGGACAAATGGGGTGGAAGAAGTTCTCCATTGCAGACTACATCTCCTTCATCCAGCAGTGCCATGATGACATGACAACTCTCTATTTTAATTCCTGTTGGAGGGCCTTGTGGTCAGAGGTAGCGAACGACTTTGCTGACTTCCCCACAATCGACGAGGATGTGCAGCACATCATCCGGCTTGCCCCTCAAGTGGGAGGTGAGGGGTTCGATGACCTTCAGGAGGAAGAGGAGCTCCTGGGTCATGGCCGAGCTTGTCGAGGAGCAGAGCCATGAGGATAAGGATAAGGAGGAAGAAGAAGGTGAAGTGGAGGAGGTGCCCGCCTTAACCATCACGAGCATCAACATGTTCTTGCTGGCTAGTAGGGCATTCGTGGACATGGTTTTCGATGTCGATCCCTCTATCGAGAGAGCAGTCAACTTCAAGAGAGGGATGGAGCAGCTCCTACTTACTTTTTACTTTTATCCTCTTCACCACTGATCGGCTCGTTAGCAGCTTGGGCGATCGGTCACGTCTATGTTACTTTTCCTTATAAGGAAATACTAAAGGAACTCAAGTGCAAGGTTGTCCAGCCTCCAATCTCCATGTTCTTCTTGCCTTCGTCCACTCCAAGCCTTACACCTTTTACACTTGCAAGAAAGCCTCAGCCTCCTGTTCGTGCACCTCCTCCTCCTGACTCTGATTCCAACATGGACTACCCCCCTCCTGCCGCTCCCAGCTCTGACCTCCCTACACTTTCCTCTTCCAAAGCAGAGGGGGAGAACTTGTAACTCTCCTGTCTTCATCATCATGATTATCATCATCATTCATCATTTTCATCATGATATTCATCAGTGGCAGGGGAGAGGAAATTGGTCTCTACACAAGCAGCCAGCATGGAATGGTGAGTGTTAATCTATTTCTTTATAACGGTTGTCAATTTTTGTTTGTGGGAATATTAATTCAATGGGGTTTTTTTATTATGTTATTGTAGGAAAATTAATGGTTTACATAATTCGTTGATCACTGAGCCTGTACCATTTTCATAGTAGATTACAAAACATGTTTTTCTCCCATACGTATACCTGGCTACGCCTGGCTTCTCCCATACGTACTGTGCGCCTGGCTATACTACACCTGGCAACAAGAGCGGGTAAGGGGAGTGCGTGACTCCTAGTTAACGCGTCATCTACATATTAACTCTCCTCGCTCCCTGCCATATTTCACTTGAATTACTGTTATTAATCATGTCATTGTAGCTAGGTTAGCTCATCATTGTAACCACCAGGCAACTGGGCTAAGCTTTGAGGTGATATGGTTTTCAACTTGTATTTTGGGGTAGATATACGTAACCTTCTTCATTTATTTTTACTCATTTACATGCACACACCATCCCATATACATATTTTGAAAAAGTATACAGTATTACACCACAACTACCAACATGCTTCATGTTGGGTTGGCTAGATGGCTACGAAAGAAATACTGTAAGTTTGATGTACGTATCAAACCCAGCTGGCAGTAGCGCCGTGTGGCAACTCGTCCAACTCAACTTTAATAACAAAGCACGGAGTTGACTGGAAGGTGGACTCGCATTTTTTCTATATTACATTTTGTTGCCGTGTTTCTTATTACGGTCCTGTCTGTGCGACTGAGCAGCCCTTTCGAGGAGTCACTCTGCTCACACCACATGGGGAGGGGGCTAAAAAAGGTGCCCTAAACATAGCCTGACTAAAAAACAACAACCTGACTGGGCAACCACGCCCAGTAAGATCATCCTTATGAAGTCAAAACCCAATCAAAATCACAGATCCAAACAAAAACAAACTGTACAACCTCTTATGGTCACTGCATGGAATGTCAGGACCCTTCTAGATACTGGCACAAATGAGAGTCCTGTAAGAAGCACTGCCCTTGTGGCAAAAGAGCTGCCTAGATATAATCATCAACATAGCAGCCATTAGTGAGTCCTGACTTCCTGATGACGGTCAACTCACAGAACGGAGTTCTGGTTATACCTTCTTCTGGAAGGGCAAGGCTGCTGCGGAGAGAAACCATATCTATGGAGTTGGCTTTGCCATTCACCAGCGCATCCTACACAGGCTAACTGAAATGCCTATTGGAATCAACAAGCACCTCATGACGCTCCGAGTCCCACTGAATCACTCATGTCATGCCTTCTTCATCAGTGCATACGCCCCAACACTGGAGGCAGAGGATGACATCAAGGAGGCCTTTTATGCCAACCTCGACAGAGTGCTAACCTCTATCCCCAGAGAAGATAAGGTTGTGCTCCTTGTTGACTTCAATGCCAGAGTTGGCAGAGATGCTGACATTTGGCAAGGAACAATAGGGAGAAATGGATTAGGCAAGTGTAATCCCAACGGCCTACTGCTCCTCAGCAAGTGTGCTGCACAAAACCTCACTATCACCAATACCTTGTTTAGGCAGGCCAACAAGTTCAAGGGTTCGTGGCAACACCCACGATCCAAACACTGGCATCTCATTGACTACATCATTGTCAGAGAAAGAGATTGCCGAGATGTCCTTCATCACCTATGCCATGCATGGCTGGGACCACTGTGACACTTGTCATCAGCTCGTCAGAGTCAAGCTCTCACTTCACGTTACCCCAAAATGGCAAAGGCAGCAAGCCTCCAGAAGAGGTTTTAACACTGCGTCTGGAGGATCCAGCAGTAACACATGCTTTCAGAGAGCAGCTCGAACATGGGCTGATAAACAACCCAACAACAAACATCCTAAATTCCAGTGCCAAATGGGGTATTCTCAACACTGTTCACGACAAAAACCTGTAGAGAGACCTTCGGCCAAATTGAAAGAATACACCAGGACAGACTTGATGAAAATGACTCGGAAATTAATGTACTCGTCGATGATAAACATGCTGCTTTAACTGACTCGCACATCAACCCTCAGTCTCGAACCAAAGCTGATACCTTCCGCAAGAAAGCAGTGATTGCAGTTATCGTACGGCTCCCTCCTCCTCCCCCCACTTTTTTTCTTAGCATACTTTTTTTAATGTTGTTTGGATTAGTAAAGGAAGGAAGATGAGTAAATAGAAGAATAAAAAGAGGGGGAAACAGAAAATAGTTAGAGATAACAGGTGGGGGGATCTGAGTTTCATCATGCGTCTGGATGCGCAGTTTCAACGTTACCAGACGACCTTACAGCTACAGTGTATACTTATTCCTATGGCTGACTGTACATGGAAAAAAGATAATAACAGGAATGCATGGAGAAGATGACTACAATAGACACAGGGTGAATATAGACAGTGAAACAGACAGGAGGTTGACAAAAATAGACAGATTTACACATGCACAAATAGACAATATGGCAACTAACATGACAGACAGACAGCTGACTGACTGGTTCACATTAGACAAACAGGCAGATACACGCCAACAACGGATAAGACAGACAGATTTGATGACATAAAGAGTACAGACGGGTTTACATTCAAACACCACGCAGACGAACAGACAGTTGGGATGGCAATAGACAGGAAGGATAGATTTGAGACAGATTAGATGGCATTTATAAACAAGAATAACACCAAATTGACCATAGCTGCGTCAATGAGGGTAGGAGGTCTTACATCCACCAGCGTAAATAATAAGACACATTGAAAACTAACATCCTCGCACGGAAAGAACATCGATGGTCGGTCAGTCATGTGAGATGGGCCTAAAACTGACTAATGTAGATGATGACTATGATGACTTAACACAGGTGATGACTTAAGCAGATGGTGACTAATATAGCCAGACTCAAGGTCACTTCTCTTCATAATATAATTTATCTCGGATTGATCATCAGTGATTCATAATAATTTTATTTTTTGTATGATTTTAAACTATCCTTATGGCAAATATTTATTTAATTAATTATTCTAACCTTTATTCTACTCCTTCTTATAGTATATTAGATAGTGTAAGTCTCACGACCACGACCATTATTATAACAACCACGACTATGATTATAACAACCACGACTATGATTATAACGACCACGACTATGATTATAACAACCACGACCATGATTATAACAACCACGACCATGATTATCTCATATGCTATAGGAATAGCCATGTGTCTGTGTGAGTGTCTGTTCTGGGCAGCCGAAACGGCACAGTCGTTTTTCATCAAACTCGGTGGAAAAATCGCAAAAAATTCGTAGAGTGGAACAAACCTGGTCCCATGTCTTTAGGAAGGCATTAATTAACCATTTTATTTATGCTGGAAAACGATGTCGCGCTAGCCAAGCACGAGCGTTCGAACTTTCACGCTTTGGTAAACTGTACCACCGGACTCACCACCGGGCACAAAGTGCCCACGATCAGTTGTTATTTTCCGATATCTTTGACCTCGTTATGGAAAATATTAGAATCAGACAGTAAAAACAGCATCTTGTAAATATGTGCTTTAACATATTCTTAAGACACAACGGTATTTACGAGTGACTCTTTAAATCATTCCTTAAACACTTGCTAATTATGATGGGAACCCTGCTACTCTTACCTTCAAGGGAGTGTCACCAATGATGCAGATGCTAACAAAGGCAATGGTTACAGCAACTACATTAACAGTCAGCTGAAACTGGAGGAACTTGGAGATAGAATCATACACATTCCTTCCCCACATAACCGCCTTCACGATGGAGGAGAAGTTGTCATCCGTCAGAACAATATCGCACGCCTCCTTGGCCACATCAGTGCCGGTGATGCCCTATAGGATAGGAAGTTAATCACTTGTGATCATAGTATAGTACCTAGAGATTACCTACACTGCAAGGATAAAGAAATTAGCAGGCATTTCTTAGGCTTATCTAAGGACAGATTTATCCCTCCTCATCTAAACAAAGCAACATCAATTGACAGGCACCCGAGTTAGAGATTTTCACCATGAGCACTGACCATAACAGTTTCTCATAGAATATATTTGAATTTGGATTAAACATTTTAGTATTGTGGTTGTATGTACAATCACTAAAAGATTATTCTGCATTTTTTAATGGGTTATACAATATGACACACTGGACCAAGAAATCTGATAACACTCATCACGGCTTCTGTCACAGTGATTGTTGCAGATGGTTTCAGAGCCAAGGATGCACAATATTTTATTAGTGAGTGTACATCAATATGAATATAATTATTGCCAAAAATAATTATTTCCCTTTAAAAAGTGCACATAAAAACATGTTTTTTATAAACAATACAGAAATTTCACTATCACACATTCATTTATATTGAACTGCAATAATACAATTACAGATCCCATTGTGCCAAAAAAAAATAGGGGGATCGGTGGTAGAAGCGGTACCGTTCTTGCCTCGCAAGCGAGATGTCACGGGTTCGATTCCCGGGCCAGTGGAAGTTGTTTGGACTTACTTCCTAGCCCCCATTAGTCCCTGTTCACCTAGCAGTAAAGTAGGTACCTGTTGTTAGTCGAAAGTTGCGAATTCGTATTCAGGGACAAGTTGTTGGAGCTTCCAATAACTTGATGACATAAACCACTGACTCTTCAGGCTTCTACGCCCTTGACTCTTTAGGCTTCTACGCCCTTAACTCATGAGACATAAAGGCAAGCATGAACTTAGCATGCTTCCCTGTTGGGCACTGTAAACGCTTCTGTGCTTCACCTTACACAATGATGTAGGGGAGTGCCCAATAAATAAATAAAAAAAGAAAAAAAAATTGTGCAAAATCATAAAGAATAATAAATGTTATAATGTGTGTGGCACTAACCATAGCAAAACCAACGTCAGCCATCTTGAGTGCGGGACCATCATTGGTGCCATCGCCAGTGACTGCCACCACCTGCCGTGTGTCTCCAGCACAGGAGTTGATGATACCTTGAACCAACACATACTTGTCCTGTGGTGATGATCGGGCTAACACTCTCAGCTGTGGCCACACCTTGTCAAATAGCTCTTGCGATACCTGTATAATAGGCAATTTCTTTAACTTCCAAGAACATTTTTCTGTTACCCAGAAAATTCTGGGGATGAGGGACATTTTTCCGGCTTTCAGAGAGTCGTCTCATTACTCAAAAATCTCTCATTCCCGGAAATGCTCTGCAAAATTTGTTCCGGCTCACGGAGATATCACTGTACGAGGTCTGTCCGGAAAGTATCCAGCCATTTACTATTAAAAAAAAATATTGCTTACCTAGGACAATGGCGCCTTAGTCCCCTTCAAGGTACTCCCCTTGGGACCTCACACACTTCTCCCAGCATCCCTTCCACTTTTCAAAACAGTCTGCAAAGTCCTCTTTTGGGATATTCATCAGCCGCCTCGTCACATTCTCCTTAATCTCATCCACGGTCTGAAATCTCCTCCCTTTCAACGGCGATTTTAGCTTTGAGAAAAGCCAGAAGTCACAGGGAGCCAAATTTGGGCTGTAGGGGGACTGAGAGACCTGGGTGATGCGATGTTTTGCCAAAAAAACCCTGCATGAGACGTGAAGAATGGGCAGGCGCGTTGTCATGATGAAACTGCCAGTCACCACTTGCCCACAGCTGTGGTCGTTTTCTTCTTACCGCATCCCTCAGCCGGCGAAGAACTTCGATGTAGTACTCCTTCGTTATGGTTTGGCCTGGAGGAGCGTACTCGTGGTGGACAACACCTTCATGATCAAAAAACACCATCAACATGGCCTTGACTTTGCTCCGACTTTGCCGTGCCTTCTTCGGACGTGAAGATGCAGGCGACTTCCATTGGGAAGACTGGGCTTTTGTTTCAGGGTCATAGCCGTAGACCCACGACTCATCTCCGGTTATGACCTGTTTGAGGAAATGTGGGTCATTGTTAGCGGTTTGAAGCATGTCCTCTGCAACTTCTGCACGAAATTCCTTCTGCTCTAGTGACAGGAGCCGCGGAACGAATTTTGCTGCCAAGATCCTGCGTCAAAATCTCTGAAACACTAGTCCGTGGAATCCCTAGATCTTCTTCTAATTCTTGCACTGTCAATCACCAATTTTCATTGATTGCAGCCCGCACACGTTCAACATTTTCGGGTGTTCTGCTTGTTGAAGGCCTTCCAGAACGTGGATCACTTTCAAAGGATTCCCGGCCATCTTTGAAGCGATTGTACCACAATTTTATCTGGGCTTCACCCATTGAATCGTCCCCGAAAGCCTTCTTAATCATTCGAATAGTTTCCGCGGACGAATGTTCAAGTTTGTAACAAAACTTGATGCAGATTCGCTGATCTACTCGCTAGGTCATTCTGAATGCGACGGTCACACAGTACCCATGCTCACTCAACGGCGTCTGCCGGGCAACTGAGTTGTCCAACGGGAGTGTGGCTGTTCACGCATGAGCAGTACAGTCCTCTCTGAGTGGCTGCCAAGTTACATCAAGGCCGCACGACCAGTTCTCACAATATTCACAATGGTTGGATACTTTCCGGACAGACCTCGTATTTATATGTACAGTATAATAAACCCTCGATAACTCGGCATTTGATAACTCGGAATTTCATACAACTTGGCATGGATACGGTCCCGGAATGTCTAAATGCGACGTGTAGCTTTATACCTAGGCATGTAAATGCCTAACATTAACTCGCCAGGCTAACATACAGGCAATTAAAACATCTAATAATTACATAAATACGTAATATTAGGAGGACACGTCGCTACCTGGCATTTAATTGCAATTCTCAAAACCCCTTCCTGCACCCTCCATCACACGCATTGCTACCATCATCTCTTGCCCTAGAGCAAGCAGTAAACAAATGTCAACTCTCGAGGGGTGAGATGTCGACGTAGCATTCTGGACTTTATCACAAAACCTGGATTTTAGAAAAAAAATCGGCTTTTTGTTCAATCCAGACTGCGACGTCTAGCTTTGATTACCCAAGCAGGAGGTGGAGAGGGAGGTGACATTGCGTATAAGGCTCCGCTAGTTTAGGTCCATATTATAATTGTAAACTTTTGGGAATATTTTCCAATATTAGGAACATTTACTGGAAGGTAAAATGTTAATTTACATATCTCAATTAGGATACTCACTTTATTCTGATGAGGAAGAAGGTCCTGGTTGTGGAGATTGACTAGGGAGGGAGGGGACCCCAGCACCACAACATGTGAGGCATCTTTCAGAGATAGATGAACAAAGCTGTTTTGAAAGGTTTTTGAAGATTTCCAAAAGCCCACTTCTTTGATCTGACTGAGGCTCATATGCCGCAGAAAGGCCACAGACCCTGCATATTTCCTGGCGTCATGTGCCAAAATTTTCTTGCCAGGGTGTACTTGACTCACTAACTGAGATAAATATTTTGTCATTTCACAAGGAGACAATTTCTTACCATCCTGTGATGAAAATACATAGGGGCCTCAATTAGGGAATCTGGTTAACCATTCTTGAAGATTCTTAACTGGGCACTATATATATGACGAACCCTTGTCTCATCCATTAGCCGTTTTATCCGGATAGGTCGAGCTTGAAAATCCTCCCTTTTATATTTTCTTAGAAACTCGGTAGGAAAAGGCATGACATCGTCCTTAGAAAATATCAATAATGATGGATTATTGGAAATTGAAATCAGCTCACTGAGTCTCATACTTGTTGCTATTGCTAGAAGGAAGTCTGCCATCTGGAGCAATCTGTCCCGGTTCTGATTTATGTTGTAATTAGGCACCAAAAGAAATTTATTAACTTTACCTAGAGACCAAGGTGGGATTCTCTTAGGCTGAGGGGGTCTCTGAATGAAAAAGGATGATCTGAGCATTTGACAAATTCTTGGGTTCAAAGTAATATCAAAACCCCATGCCAGAGGGTCGACTAATGCTGATTTATAAGATGCAATTGTAGATCCTTGAAGGCCTTTAATTCTGAACAGAAAATCTAAAAATTCTAACACCACTGTTTCCGACAATGTGATTGGAGTCGTTAACCTGATAAATTGTTGAAAAAGTTTCCAAGCTTTCTCATATTGTATAGAAGTTTGGGGTCTATGACCTGCTTTCATTCGGTTAACTATATTGGAATTACCCAACAATCAATTTAAACATCTTTTGAGAAACTCCAAGCGTGAAGTGCCAAGGATATCTCGAACTGAGGGTGCAGTAGCTGGTCTAGACATCCTTGTTGCAATTGTTGTGGATGCGGGCACCATTCTAACAAATCCAGACACCGCGGATGTAGGATCCATTATGGTGCAATTAAGAGGACCTTTCCCTGGAAGGATCTGAGTTTGTGAACCACTTTGGGCAAAATTTTTGCAGGTGGGAACAGATAGATTGAATTTCAACGGTTCCAATCAATGAGTAGAGCATTTCCTAAAAGATTTGATCGTCCAGAGATGCATGAGTTGGCATCTTGTGATTGTTTTGTGAGGCAAAAAGATCTATTTGTGGAGTCCCAAACCTCTTCACTCGCCTCTAGAACTTCGATATCTTAAAAGACCATTCTGTTAAAGTCGATACTGGCCTGAGACGGGACAACGCATCTGCCCAATTGCTTTGTACTCCCGGTATGCGAGTTGCTTTGAGGTAAAGTTTTTGTGTTACACGAACTTTTAAATTTTTTTCTGACAGTGTGAGAAGGGGCCAATATCTGGTTGAGCCTGGATGATTGACACAAAACACCGTCGCTCTGTTGTCCATGGAAAACAGAATCGTCATGTTTTTGAAATTTGGGTTTACCAACAAAAAGAATAGGACTACTGCTAATTCTTTTATGTTTATGTGTTTGTCCCAAAGGGAGTTGCTCTACTTCCCTTGACAGAACTCTCCTTTAAAGGAATGGTATCCCATTCTATATCGGACGCGTCCGTACGAACGGCCAAGTCTGTTTGAGGGGTAACCCTGGGAAATGAACCGATTAGATTGTCCAAATTTGTCCACCATGACAGATGATTCTTGATCTGAATAGGCAGAGAAGACGCAATATTTCTGTTTCTGTGAAGCAACTTCGATCCCAGATGAGTTAGTTGCTTCTTCCTTAACGTGCCCAAAGGAAATACTATGGTGGCAAAATTCAACAGACCAAGTAGTTTTTCCCAATCGTGCCAAGAAACCTCCTGCTTTACACATAAGGCTTCTACTTGGTTTATCACATCTGTTACTTTTGCTTCTGGTAGACTGACTGACTGCTGATTGGTGTCCCAATGGAGACCTAACCAATCCAATATCTGACATAGTAGGAGATTTGATTTGAACTGGTTTAACTTTAATCCAAGGTTTTGAATTAGTACTAGTGTACGTTGGGTCGCCCTTTGATAGTCTTTGAAAGTTTCCCACTATCAGCCAATCGTCTAGATAAGCAAAAGTTCTTATGCCCTCCTTCGCAAGGATCTCCCTGGGGATGTTCGCCAGTTTTGTAAACACTTTTGGCGCAATTGTCAGGCCAAATGGCATCCTGTGAATAGATAACTTACATCCCCCATATATATATATATATATATATATATATATATATATATATATTCCTCCAGTAAAGACGAGCCCGGAAGGATGATAAACAACGTCATTCACCAAGTGACTTGAAAGCAGAGGATAGTGTCACTAAAGATCGAATTTCTTCCTTGATAGAAGACAAGCCGGGGTCGCCATACTTGACTAGACAATGTAAGAAATTGCACCAAACACAATATCTGAGAGACATAATCAAAATTAAAGTTACTCGATTTCCTCACCGTGCTAAGATGTATAATTACCGTATGTAAAATCCTCGTGGCACTTAATATTTCAGCTATTACAACACAAATTAGCGAAGCCTTCTTTGTGCACATTTACAGCTGATTCGCCAGGCAAGAAGATGACGGTAGCAATGCGTGTGATGGAGGGTGTGGGAGGGGATTTTGGGAATTGCAATTAAATGCCAGGTAGCAACGTTTCCTCCTAATATTATGTATTTAAGTAACTATTAGATGTTTTAATTGCTTGCATGTTGGCCTGGCTAGTTAATGCTAGATATTTACATACCTGGGTATAAAGTTAGACGTCGCATTCTGGATTGAACAAAAAAAAAATATATATATATACAGTATACAGTATATAACATGTAGATTCACAATGAAAACGTGGATAAGATAAATCTTGATAAAATCACATAGGGAAAAGGGAAACAGTGGAGCACCTTAGCTTTCGTCTTTATTCAAGTTGCCTCTGAAGATGTCTTGAATAAAGACGAAAGCTAAGGTGCTCCAATGTTTCCCTTTTACCTGTGTGATTTTATCAATATATATATATATATATATATATATATATATATATATATATATATATATATATATATATATATATATATATATATATATATATATATATATATATATATATATATATATATATATATATATATATATATATATATATATATATATATATATATATATATATATATATATATACAAGTGATATTTCCGTTAGCCAGAACAATTGGTGCACAGCACTTCCGGGAATGAGAGATTTCTGGATAACGAGACAACTCTCTCAAAGCCGGAAAAAATCCTTCATCCCCGGAATTTTCCGGGTAATGGAAAAATTTTCTCGGAAGTTCCAGAAATTGCCCATTACATTATCTCTCGAACCCAGAAAAATATCCCTGTTGATACTGAATGGGATTTATTATACGAATAACCAATGATTAAAATTTTAATTTTCCAATTATATGTTAGGTAGCACAACATTATAGTATAGTTCACGTCTACCTGGAAGACAGGTAAAGGCAGGCCTATGGGAAACTTTCCTCCCAAGTTAAAGAAAAGAAAGTGACAACATGATGATGGCTTACCTCTCCCTGCTCATCCCGTATCCTGTGATTGAACTCTTTACTATCAAGGACGAGACTGTCTCGTGTGGGCTTAAGAATACCACACTTAGAAGCAATAGACCTGGCGGTGTTGATGTTATCCCCAGTCACCATCCTCACTGCCACTCCAGCCCCCTCACACAGATTGATTGCCTCCGGCACCTACAGCACACATACATAAATATATGTTTTAATCAATTTGCTTCTTACTGAACTCCACTCCTAACTAGATGGGAATGGGGAGAATGAGTCAAACTAAAATTCAAATTAAAGAAGAAAAAGAAAAATAGCACTCATACCCCACTCAAAGATAACTTTGATGTTATGTCTCTACCTCTCAGTGTGGTGGCATACTGTAATTCAAAATCTCATAACAATTGTATACCTGTCATATAAGCACCAAAGTTTGCACATATGGGTACATAGACTAACACCACCTGATTGCCGTAAGATAATGATGGGGCACATAAAATTATAATGCTGTGTCCAATGGACACAGGGGTTGAAGCAGACACATCTACTATGGCATTTAATTCAACATTAATAACAAAATCATCCGCTCATTTTATGTTGACATTGTTCTAAACTATATGCAATGATGAGTTATAACAAAAAGAATGTTTGGATTTATTACTTTATGTTCAGGCAATAATTTTCTTATCCTGAGTCACAGTAGTTTTTAAAAGATTCACAGATATGCAAAAAGAAATAATAATTAAAATCACAGATCACAATTACCATAATCCTGTTCATCAACTTTTATATCCAAAAGTATTAAATCCCACTCAATGAGTAATCAATTAATGAGAATTTTACAAAACAATCTTAATGTTTTAGGAATGAAATTCAACTATTGAATTTCTATGAAATTTGACAAACAAACTTTTGAGTGAAAGACTGTAATAATAATAATAATAATAATAATAATAATAATAATAATAATAATAATAAATAATAAACGGTTTATTGAAAGAGCATGGTAGCAGGAAGGCTGAAAATATACAATTACATAATTGGGGAATGGGTCTCTTGATTTACAAATAATATACAAGTAACATACGTGATACAAATAAGATCACATGTCTGCCTGGACCCTCAGCAATGACTTATTGTCCTGCTTTTTTCCCTAACCTAACCATTTTGTCCTGGGCTACTGACATATTCAGGGCCTCTTTATATCTGTACTCTGAAACTTTATCCAGTCAGGTGTCTTCCTACTTTCAGTTTTGACTGGTTCTCAGAAATTCCATGCACAACAATATTGTTCCTGTGCTTGAGACGATCCTGGCATTTCTTCTCTCCTATATCAGTACTGGCTGTTAACTTCTTGACACTCATCTACAGAGACCTTAGCTGCTGAATGACCTGTTCTGATCCTACAACCCTCTCAGCCATCTTCTGTGTCCTTACTGCAACTTGAGCTTACTTTTTCTCAACTTATTTCTCAATCCTATCAATTGCTTCCTCAATCTGATTGAGGATCTTTTTTCAATTTGCTCTAGTTTGGTAACCACAAAGAATCCTACTTCCTCCATTTATTACTAAATTTTTCTTTTATTTGATCTGCAATAGCCTCGTCAGCTTTGGTCTCCCAGACAGGACCATACCAGTGACATTATTTAGAATTTAACAAATCCAACAGTCGTACATCCAGTACCATCCCTGTTTGCACAATCCCTTCAAAAACTTTTCACCATAATTGCAGGCCAGAAGACCCTTTGCTGTCCGAGGGCTTCTACATGTCTCAACTATTCCTGTATATGCCACACCTACTCATACGTATATGAGCTGTGCATTATGTTACTTGCGCCATATGGACAATTGGCACTTGAGGGCACTAGTGCTGATTTTGATAGAGAGATACTGCTGCTGAGGTGTTATGTAGGTGGGATGTGTAGGGAAAGTTGTGTCAGCTGCAGGTATTTAAACTTACTGTAACCACTGTGTTGTTCTCGAGTCAAAAATCTGTTTTCTATAGGAATTTTCTTTGTCTTGATAAAAATCTCTTGAAGTGATATAGTTCTAGCCTACCGGGTATGTATTGTGACAGTATCTAGGACCCTTGAAATATAACAAAAATGTTTGACTAACACAAGAAGCACAGCTCTTCAGCTCTGGTGACTAAAGATTGTTTAATAGCCCTGAAAGCTAAGTATAAGGGTAAATGTTTGGTGGGATCATACACAAGGCAGGTAATAAAAATGCACAGACAGGGTTTACATCATATCAGGAACTGTCTCAACAGAAATAATGAAACATATTGACGAACCATATTAGGAACAATGTAGTGCACGAGGACAGTATTAAACTTTGACTTTCTTCACCTGTATTTGTGGGGTTCAGCTTGAGAGGAAAATGCAAAGAACACATCTGAAGCAAATGTTACTTGATCAGTTTCCTGATTTACAGGCTCGCAGCATGGTTCAAGATGTTCTGCTAGCATTTGATGAAGTTGGTAGTGCTTTTGCCAAAGCCTATGTGGTGGTTCTTGAAAGAGCTGCACAGATTGTACAACACATTTTCAAAGATATAAAACCCTGTGTTGGCCAGTTAATTATGAAAAAGCCCAATAGTAAGACCTAATAAAATTCAGGTGGGTTGGCCTATTTTAATAAAACTCAGATTTTTGCCAACCCTGTTTATTATACATATTGTATTGGATTTATACAACTTTTAATTGTACTTATATATATTTGAATGTATTGTGGGCCTTACTGCATATCTACTAAAATAGTCAATTTCAAATGGTTGCACATCCATTATAAAAAAAAAAAAAATAAATAAATAAATAAATACAGATTACTTAATTGTTTGCATATGTACAATACCTAAAAAAAATAATAATTTTTCTGTCTTTACAATTTGAACACTGGACAAAATGCTTTGATATGCAGAAAGAATTCAGAGATGAGGTAGACCTAAATCATATACAGTACTGTACTGTATGGATTTTGGGATAATTTTTTGTTGTAGGAGTTGCACAATTCTGTACTCACTTATCCCTCGTAATGAGGCTCACCTCTGGCCTGACAGGGTCCTCAACGCCGACGATGGCCAAGAGGGTCAGGTTAGAGACTACAGTGTCCTCCTCTTCCCACTGAGGTGCCTGGCTGATCTCTGTCTATTAGAAATTAAATTATTAAATGTAAAACTATTGTGGTGGCATTTAGCAGTTCATCCTCATAATCAAATGTACATTACTTTAATTTATCCTCTTCACCAATGATTGGCTTGTTAGTCATTTGCTGTATAATCACATCCTGACAATCAAAATAAATGCTTTGGAAAAATCACCTGAATACTACATAAACAACTTGATTAAAAAGTTTTTTTTGACTAGTAATAACATAAGCAATGCACAGATTCTGTGTTTCTGTTATCCATTTAAAGCAAAGGACTTTGGACATGCAATCTGTATCAGCGCTCATGTTGAAACTAAAAACAAGGCCACAAGGGAGCTACAGGGGATAATGTCTAATTTCTCATTTACATTACCTATTACCACCTCCAATGCCATGCACAGAATGATCTGGTATACAGTATAGTGTATGCACTATACAGTAAACCCTCCCAATATCGAACTAATTCATACAAGTTCTGCCCATTACTGCAAGGGTTTCCTTTCTCTACCAATCCCCACCATCAAAACACATCTTATATGGTACAGTGAACCCTCACTTTACGCGGTTAATTGAACCCAAAGCGGCCCGCGTAAAGTGAACAACATAACATATAGGATTAATTAAAATAGAGACCGGGCCGACCCCCAAACTCCACTTTTTCCTGACACAATATGTACGTTTTACTAAAAATAACATCTTAAATTTATGATGGTATTCACACACACATAATATAGAAGGGAACAATCAATAAGAGAATAATAAACTGAAGGTTAGGTTAGAAAAAAACAAGGTTGGGGTTCACACTTACGTTAGAAGAGATGGGTCGGCGTAGGGGAATGGAGGCTGGTTCCGAGGCAGAGGGCAGGCTACTGGCCCTCAGGTGAGTCTTCATCGCTGTCATCCACACTTACTAGTGCCTCCCTGACAAATCCCTCAAAGTCATCATCACTGTCTCTGTCACTATCACTGGCTTGGGCTGGCTGTGGTGGGTTGCGGACGAAGAACTCTGTTATGCTTTGCTGACGGCTGGTGTTTATGTTGTCGTGATAAACCTTGATGTAGGGCTCCATAGTCTGCAACAGCTGGGTAGTGAAGATTTCATACCTGTTTGCGTCAGGGTCGTCGGAAAGGAGGAGCTTGACTTTCTCAATACACTCGATGGCACCCCTTACATTACTATGGGATAAGTGGCGTTATTCTTGGGATGACGCATCACCTGCCTCTTCACTGACGTCATCATCATCTACCATCTCGTCGGTAGTCACATCAGGATCCCTTATCACCTCCAGGATGTCGTCGTTGGTGGTCTCGGAGAAGCCTGCAGCTGTAACACTCTGCGCAGCTTCTCTGGCAAGGTCCACTGCTACTGCAACAGTCTGAACCTCACCAGTCACAGATTTACTCTGCCTAACACCCGGAATGCCTTGCAACACATGTCCCCATGCGTGACGAACAGTTGCTACAGACAGCTGACCCCATGCCTCCACCAAGAAGTCCACAGCTTTCTTGACGTTGAATGTTCTCCAGAATTGTTTCAAAAAGTACTTCTTGCTCTGCCAACTGTTGATCCTCGTCGTCTTCGCTCTTGCTATCGGTGTCACTCAGGTTACGCAACTCTTCCTTGGTGTTGGTGTAGTCGTTCAGGAGGTTGAATTTTTTAGCAGAGAATGCAGCTTTTACATTACAGAACAATTCTTGGTCCATGGGCTGTATTATAGACGTAGTGTTGGGAGGAAGGAAGACCACTTTTACGTTGGTGTGACGATCTAACAGTAGGGGCGAGTGTCCTGGTGCGTTGTCAAGCAGCAACAAAATCTTGAATGGAACATTCTGTTGCCCACAGAATTTCTTCACATCGGGAACGAAACAGTCATCAAACCAGGAGAGGGACAGTGTAAAGAACATCCACGCCATACGTGCGGTCAGCCAGTGGACATTTAGCTTGGTCATGTTCATGCTCTTGTAGGCGTGCGGCTTACGTGCTGTGTGGATCACCGATAACTTGAGCTTACAGGTACCGGAGGCATTGGTGGTAAACAGGACGGTGATGCTCTCCTTTTGCAACTTCCGGCCCCGACACTTGCTGGCATTCTTCACAACGAAGGTCTTGGAAGGTAGCTTTTTCCAAAAAAGACCAGATTCGTCCTAAACACCTGGTCGTCGGTGTACTGTCCTTCCTCCATAATCTCACGTGAAAACGGAGGAAATTCCCTAGCCGCAACACGGTCAGCACTAGCTTCTTCACCACCAATGTTGTTATTGGTGATCTTGTTCCTCTTCTTAAACCTCTGTAACCACCCAGAGGAAGCATTAAAGGGTTTGGGCTCTGTAATTTCCATCTTTCGTGGCACTGCAGCATACAGTTCACGTGCGTACTCCTTAACTGAGCGCGTGTCCACCGCCATGTTCCGTCGCGCCTGACACACCAAGTAGCTCACAAGTAATTTTTCCGTCTTGAGAAGCACCTGGTTGTGGAAATACTTGATCATAGAAGCACCTGTAGACTTTGTGATGTTCATGTGCTCCTTTATCTTGGCTGCATCCTTCTTAATTGTCCTGATAGTTGATTCGTTAACACCATGCTGGAGTGCGAGATCAACCTGTCTTGTTCCTTTCTCCAACTCTTGTATGATCTTATATTTTATTTCGTAGCTTAAGGAACGTCGTGTCTTCTTTGGCTTAGGGCGGCTGGGTCCAGGTAATGCAAGGTTTCTTTGTGGTGGTGGTGGTTCGGTGGAAGCCATTCTTATGGAACAATGGATACCGATATGCACGGTGTAGCCGGGAGGGGTGTAACTGACGCGGTAGGTCAAGGGGCTTGAACGCTCCCACGGCGGGGCACGTCATAGTACTAAATTAAACCAATCACAGCTAGCAGGGAGGGAGGTAAGGATGCTTTGCCCAATCACAAACCGCTACATCATATGACGTCACCGATAACGCAACAAAGACATACACTGCGCAACCTACTCGCGTCGCTTACACAACATGGTGGATGGCGGGAGAGGGCGGGAGAGATGGCGGGAGGTTTGGATCAAAAAATGGCGCGGTGCGAGAGGACCGCCAGCCGCTCTCCGCGTAAAGGGGTACAAGCACCGCAGAAAGTGAGCATTCCGTGTTCGGCAGGGTACCGCGTAAACGAGGAAACGCCTAAAGTGGGACCGCGTAAAGCGAGGGTTGACTGTAATAAATATTGTACTGTACAGTACAGTACCGTACGTATATAGAAATTCAATACAGGTTATACCTCTCTAGTCCAGCAACCTCGGGACCTGACCGGTGCCGGACCATGGAAATTGCCGGACCATGGAAATTCACCCTTTTCCTGGATAGATAGTGACTTGCGCTTATGCTTGGAAGTACTAGCACCACTTTCTCTGCATCATGGTCTCTTTGAAGACATATTGAAGGGTTAAATGTCATATAGTAGCTTCTCAAAATTCGTGAGTTTTTAATTCAACGTATTTTATTGGAACACACACAAAATAAATAAATAAATAAAAATTTTGACGGCGGAAAACTTGAATTTCGACGGGTTTGAACGGCCCGCCAACGTGCATAATCGTGTAAACAGCGTCATTTCTCTTAGGTACAAAAGATTCATTATTGTTTATTACTGAATGTCTTTTTTATTGAATTAATGTTTATGTGTGCAAAATGAGCAATACAATTCATTAATAATACGTAGAATATGAAAACACACGAGGAAATGACACAGCATTGTTTTCGTTGATTACAAAACCAGTGACTGACTGGTTCTACATATAAAACAGAAGAAAATAAGACCTTGGTTGTAGCTGTAGTAAAATTAATATGGTTGTTTTAAGTAATGTTATTTAATGTTAATAAATGGAACAATAGAAGCAGCTAACGTTAATGGTAAAGAAAAGAGAGAGATCGCGTATGTAAGTGCGCACACGTGAAAACATATCGTCATTACTTTACATAAGAATATGAAAGCAACACTTATTTACTGTTCATATATATTCTAATTAATGTTTCTGAATTTGTTTTTATTGAATTAATGTTTGTGTGTGCAAAATTAACAATACAATTTATTAATAATGAGGAGACGAGACGGCTGCCGGCATTGTTTATGTTAAAGCTTACAAAACCAGTGACTGATTGGTTCTACATATAAAACTGAAGAAAATAAGACCCTGATTGTAGCTGTAGTAAAATTAATAAAAAAAAAATTAATATGGTTGTTTGAAGTACCTGTAATGTTATTTAATGTTAATAAATGGAACAATATAAGTAGCTAACCATTAATGGTAAAAAAAAAGTGAGACTGCGCATTAGGGGGCAGGGAAAAAACACTTTTATTTGAGTTGCAGGCTGCACTTTTCAGGCATCGTTTGTATGGCTGTAACAAACACCTGTGCAAAATTTCATGCCATTTCATGCATACTTACCCTGCCGCATCGCGAACGACTTTTTGTCAACTTTTAGTGTATACCAAAAATTAGGTGTCATTTAATGTTTTCCAGGATAATGATAAATTTTACATGGGTGACATCGATTTAATTCACATGTTATTTTACAGGTACACCGTATAGAAAATCATTACAAGTTCATATTGAAATTCTTTTTTGTGCGGAACCTTGGCATCATTTTCCTAGACAATAATCTTTGCCTAATATATCCATCTCTCGATTCGTATCCCGTCACTTCAGTGCAAGCTTCAGTCATCACTTTTATGCCTCTCTCGACCGCCTGAGTGCTGTTTGGCCACTTGGGCACCACTAATGGTGTCTCAAGAATGTCATTAACCTGTAGATTTGACAGAGAAGCAATGTAAGGAGGCTCAGTCTTGAGTTCATTCCTCCAGTTAATCATGGAATGATAGTTTTTTGCTTGCCACTTTAGTTTTGGAGTCACCACCTTTCTCATGTTGACTACAGGAGGCACATCCTCATTCCCATCTCCATCTTTACCCTCCTCATCAGTATAGTTTAACAAATTCTCGTCAACAGCAGCATCAGAATCTTCCTCCTCC